AACTCAAATGTTAAATTATTAAAACAACTGAAAAAAAGTGTAAAAATAACACAATGTGCACATATTTTTAATTTTACACAATAGATATGTTCCGTATTATTAGTGATAGAATTTATCTGTTAAAATTTATAGAAAAAAAATATTGATTTTATTCTACAATAAGAGTGAGGGTGACTACAGACCGTCAATAACATTTTTCCAAGTTAATTTTATCAAAAATATGTTGATTTTTTACACAAAATTTGTTTCAAATTACTATAAAATTTGCATTAATTTTGTATTGAAATATGTATTAACATTGTATCAGTGTTACCATTTAACATATCCAATATGTTAAATCAACACAAAAATTTATGTGGATCATTTAGGACGTGCGATATATGTTAAATTTAAACCAAATCCAAGAGCGTATAAAAGTAATCTATACACTGTTGGAAAATTTGTGTTTTCTTGTTAAAAAATATACCGGTTAAAATTTTTGCGTTAAATATTTAATATATTCATGTGTTAATTTAACATATTGCTGTTGTGTTAAATAAACTCAAATGTTAAATTATTAAAACAACTGAAAAAAAGTGTAAAAATAACACAATGTGCACATATTTTTAATTTTACACAATAGATATGTTCCGTATTATTAGTGATAGAATTTATCTGTTAAAATTTATAGAAAAAAAATATTGATTTTATTCTACAATAAGAGTGAGGGTGACTACAGACCGTCAATAACATTTTTCCAAGTTAATTTTATCAAAAATATGTTGATTTTTTACACAAAATTTGTTTCAAATTACTATAAAATTTGCATTAATTTTGTATTGAAATATGTATTAACATTGTATCAGTGTTACCATTTAACATATCCATTATGTTAAATCAACACAAAAATTTATGTGGATCATTTAGGACGTGCGATATATGTTAAATTTAAACCAAATCCAAGAGCGTATAAAAGTAATCTATACACTGTTGGAAAATTTGTGTTTTCTTGTTAAAAAATATACCGGTTAAAATTTTTGCGTTAAATATTTAATATATTCATGTGTTAATTTAACATGTTGCTGTTGTGTTAAATAAACTCAAATGTTAAATTATTAAAACAACTGAAAAAAGTGTAAAAATAACACAATATGCATATATTTTTAATTTTACACAATAGATACCTTCCGTATTATTAGTGAATTTATTTGTAAAAATTTACAGAAAGAAATATTGATTTTATTCTATAAGAGTGAGAATAACTATAGACCGCCAATAACATTTTTCCAAGTAATTCTATCATTAAAAATATGTTGATTTTACACAAAATTTATTTTAAATTACTATAAAGTTTGCATTTATTTTGTGTTGTAATATTAACATAGTGTTAATGTCATTTAACATATATCCATGTTATATTAAATTAATACAAAAATTTGTGTCAACCGTTTAGGACATGCAATATATGTTAAATTTAAACCAAATTTTCCAACAGTATAAAAACAATCTATACGTAAGAAACGAACTCGTCTACTAGTGTTGTATATATAGAAATAATTGATTAATTGCAAATTTTGAAGAATAATTTCATTGTCTTTGATTAGTTCGTAAAACTGTTTCGATTCTTTCGCAACAATACCGTGTTTACGATAAATATAAGAAATAATTAATGTTATTAGACAGATCATAATTCTACTTGTCAAATCTCCAATTTATCGCAACGCGATAATGCATCCTAGTAACGAGATCGTTATTCATCACACTTGCGAAACCTGTTCCAGAAACAGTTTAAAGAGTAGCAATAGATCCTCAAGTGCCTTACTCGATTGTGATCGAAATGATCTACAATGGCGATTATTCTGACACGACATGCCTGTCTGACATGTTTCCGGTTAATATATAATTGTCCGTTATATATTCCTTTCAAGAAAACAACTCTATTCCTTCTTTTTTCTCGGGGTTTATAAATTTAGACTTAATCTTAACATTATGTAAATTGATTTATTAATCGCAAATTCAATATATTTACGTTATATTTCAAATCTGCATTTACTATTTTTAAAAATGTAATGTAATTCAGAAATAGTGAAATATATTTTCCTTTCAATCTGATTTGTAACTTACATTTGAGTATTTTAAAATCGTGATTTACGGTCCTTACCAAAAAAAAAAAAAAAAAAAATAGAATTCGACAATATTAGCGCCGAAGATTAGCGACAGACTAGGTAGTTTAAAATTCCTTCATTTTAGTCTGTACAATTTTAGTATGTATAATTTTTTTTATTAAAATTAATTCTCATCGCGTACATGTATATTAAATTAGAATAATATTAGTCGTACTCTTATGATATTTCTCTTCAGAAAAAAATAAAAAAAATATAATGGATAATTACTAAAAGATTAAATAATATAAAAAATTAGATATTTATTATCGTTGAAATGTAAGAATAATAAAGATTTCGATGGCGAATCTTTCTTTCAAAATATTTATTTAGCGAATTTTAGTTTGTTATACGTCGAACGGAAACATTATCGCACTATCGACGACGGCGAAGACCATTTATTTTCATTATTGCCTGTCCTATTAGACGCCTCATATGTATGGGGACACACCGTACATATGATGCAACAGCTTTTTATCTCGCGGTAAACCCGGTTTCAAAATAGCGAAGTGTTCGAATGAATCGTTCGTAGATGAAGCTAGACGAGTCCATCGAAACGCGCTTTCCAGATATAACACTGATTAAAATTCATGAATCCTTTTTTCAATTTAAGCTGCTTCAATATATCGTCTGTACTAAGCACCATGTTTTATATAACGCTAAAAACGTAATTGTTTGGTTCCTGCTTATATTCGTCTAATGCGAAAATTATCGTTTAATATCAATATGAGAGAAGAGAATCAGAGAGAGAGTTGCATTCAGTACAAAAAAATCTGTCACCTTTATTATATTATTCTCCTATTAGTCTCTAAATGACATCTCATTGTTATTGTATTCTACAAGCCATTCATATCATAAGTTTCACAATATTTTGTATACGTTAATGATTAAACAGTTTGTTGCGAAAGATGAATGAATTTCATAAAATTATGACTCTCAAGTTTTCGAAATTAGCAGTTTATACATATATACAAGGTCCCATTTTAACTTTCAGACCGTAATATCTCGAAAACTATGCATTTACCAAAAAAAAAATTTTAGATAAAAGTTATTTGACTCGACAGGAGACATAAGAAGGTGCCATTGGTTTGACTTTGGATAGTCGTTTGAAGGCCACCTTTAATTTTTTAAATGGAAACCTCCATTTTTCATTACATATTCTTATAGCTTGTTAGTTCGAGAGCTTTTCAAAACACTATAATAAAGTATTTTTTCATTAAGTATTCTTCGAGTTATTTTATATCTTAATCTGACATATTTTGATATAAAAAATAAAATATCTCGTAAAATATTTAGTTTTCGATAATCTTACCGTAATACTTTTATGTACAGAATAATGAGACGAATCAATTGATATAAAAAAAATAATTGTTTTTAAGAAAAAGTATGTACTTATTTACAATATATCTTTTTTAATTTTTTTTTTTTTGCAGCAGCAGCAGCAGCAGCAGCAACTGATTTGTCTCATTATTCTGTACATAGAGGTATTACGGTAAAATTATCTAAAAGAAAATTTTAGATAATCTAATTTTTTTTAGATAATTAAATATTTTATTTTTTATATCAAAATATATGTCAGATTAAGATATAAAATAATTCGAAAAATACTTAATAAAAAATACTTTATTATAATGTTTTGAAAAGCTCTCGAACTAGACTACAAGAATATGTAATGGAAAATGGGGGTTTCCATTTAAGAAATTAAAGGTGACTTCCACATGACCTTCAAACGATTATCCAAGGTCAAATTAATGGTACTTTTGTACCTGTCCCTCTTCAAGCCAAATAACTTTTCTCTGAAATATTTTTTTTGAAAATGCATGGTTTTCGATATATTACGGTGTGAAAGTTAAAAAGGGGCACCCATATAGTTACTCAATATTCTTATTTCTTCATTTTTCCTCTTATAAAGAGAAAATAACTTAGGATTTTTAGTTCTACGTTTCCCTCTATGTAAAATTATCTGTGAATGCGTTTGTCTCTTATTATATAGCGGCAGGTTAATTACCCCAGACAGCACAAGGATGTCCTTAAGACGTCCAAAGGGCATCCAGGACATACATGTAGGATATCCTGTTTTTAATTGTAATGTCTTATTATTTATATTTAACAATAAGAACTGTCCCACATTACTAAAGTACCCAAGTTCTATCACATTAGCAAAGAATACTTACCCAATGTCATTTTGTACGAAGAGCAAAATCTCGTAAACTTACAAATATGTTTGATACTGAAAACTGATAATAAGATATTAAAATAGTGACATACATGAGGTTAGGATATCTGTCATGTATGCAGTAAGCAATATATAAAAACGACCTGTTAGAATGTTTTTATTTATATATGGTTTTTTTGTTGTATATCTGTGTTTTATGTATGATATATTGTCTGTAAACATTTAATAATTGTACGGTACTCTTTTGCACGTAAAATCTCACGATGTCGTGATATATGTGGAATTTTAATTTCGAAAGAGTACAATTATTAATTGTTTACGGATAGCAAACAACAGGAAAAATATATATATACAAAAAATAAACCCATATATAAATAATAAAAATATTTTAACAGAACGTTTTTATACATTGCCTACTGCACATATGACAGATATCCTAACCTCGCGTATGTCACTGTTTTAATATCTCATTATTGTGTTTGTAGTATTAAACATATATTTGTAAGCTTGCGAGATTTTGCTTTTTCTACATAGTGACCCAGACAGCACAAAATGTCCTCAGGTTCATCCTGAATATGTCCAGGATGGTTCAGGATATTTGTAGGATGTTTTAAGATATTATTATAAATATATTTTATGAAAATTTAATATGCATACATGATTACTTTCGGTTATGTAGGCTATTTAATTTAATTTAGAAATTTTAAGTATTGTAATAAGTATTAATGTCCTATAAATGTCCATTGGATAACCCCTGGATGTCTGTAGGATATTTGCCCTGTCTATTATATTGGATGCCCTTTGGACGTCCTAAGGACATCCTTGTGCTGTCTGGGTAATAGACAGGGCAGATATCCTACAGACATCCAGGGGTTATCCAATGGACATTTATAGGACATTAATACTTATTACAATACTTAAAATTTCTAAATTATATTAAATAGCCTACATAACCGAAAGTAATCATGTATGCATATTAAATTTTCATAAAATATATTTATAATAATATCTTAAAACATCCTACAAATATCCTGAACCATCCTGGACATATTCAGGATGATCCTGAGGACGTTTTGTGCTGTCTGGGACATATGAGAAATAAGTAGCGCGAATTGGATGATTCAAGTACTTATATATGTTTGAGGATAGTTGAAATTGCTCGGAATCACATTTCGCAAGATAGCTAGGAGATTTTTTTTACGAAGGACATCTGTATCTTTACACCTGTGCAACTAATGCGTCATTTATCTATTATATAGTTATCCTGAGTTTTACGGATTATATTTAAAATCACGTGTGCGTTCGGATGTGCAATATCAATGCGTAATCAGCAGAAAGACGATATAGAGAATACGAAAAAAGTGCCACGTGTTGTAAGCTTTAACTAAAGAATCTCGCAGAATCCAAGCAATCTCTCTCGCACTAACAAGTTGCAATACAATTTTTCTACGAGCAATCGTTCGTTACCTGCGAATCTGAGACATCTGGCAAGCGCACAACGGCCATAATATCATGATATTATCTGTATCGTATATCACTAGTAAAACATCCGTCTCTCTAGAAGTACGTGTGATGCACATCTAAGTTTAGTAAAATCTGTGAAAGAAATTTGTCTCGTGTCATTATAAAATATCTTATTGCACAAGACATATATCAATTAGCACAACATGCTTTTTCGAAAATTCTAGTTTGAGTCAGACTAAAATAAAGGAAAATTATGTTAGTTAAATATTTGAAAAATATAAACTAATTTTGAAATAAATATTTTTGTTAACAAAAATGTTAAGAAGGATTGTGATTTATCACAATACTTTTCAATTTATAATATTACATATTCTTATATAAAAAAAAAAATATTACGATAAAGTCCGCTTAAAATTGATTAAAAAATCTGACTTTATGTCATGTATCTTCTTATTTATTTTATTAAAAATTATTCATTTTCAATAATTCATTACGTGAAAACTGTAAACGTCTCAATCTTTATTTTCAGGGAAGATAAAGCAAGTAAAACCTGTGGAAAGAAATTATCTCATGTCATTATAAAATATCTTATTGCACCAAACGTACATTAATTAGCATAAAATCCTTCCTCAAAAATTTCAATTTGACTAAACATAAGGAAAATTATATAACATTGGGAAAATATGAATTAATTTGAAATAAATCTTTTTTTTAACAAAAATGTTGAGAAGAATTATTTATCATAATACTTTCCAATTTATATTACATATTTTTATAGAACAAAAAATTATAACCAAATCCGCTTAAAATTGATTAAAAAATTTGACGTAGTGTCATCTATCTTCTTTTTTATTTATTTCATTAGAAACTATTTTCGATCATTTATTATGTGAGAATGGTAAGCGTCCTGATTTTTATCTTCAGAAAAGATAAAAAGAGCTCGAATTTAATTTAAAAAATCCATAATTATAGAAAATGTAAAAAAAACAAAGCTTCTTCTATAAGGAAGCAAAAAAGTAAAACAGATCGTACTCTTTAATATAAATATATATATTTTTTAAATCTTTATACATATATACGAATACGCCACGTTCTCCAACCTTGGAATTCGAACAGGACGCGAACGATCAACGTAAACAGAATCAATTTTCCTTGATTTCGCGTTGACAGCACGTCGTCAATTTGCTCCAAGGTTTAGGGAGAAAGCACATTTACATATAAGGAGTCTGGTGCTCGCGATATCCAGAGATAGACTGGACAATTGGATTTGAAAATTGCGCTTGGACAATACGCCTACGATTAATTAAAAGGGAACTACCTTGAACTCGAACCACTTTATGATTAACGACATAAGACCGCTCTAATTGGTCTTCACCGCTAGTCGGTACAAAGCGTTAATAACATCTGGAATGCGCCTGTTCGGCATATATGAGAAATTTACAATGTACATTCAAATTAATATAAATAGTCGAGATCAAAATAATAAAAAAGAGAATACGAAAAATAAGACAATAATTTTATAAATTTTCTTCAATATAATATTCAAATAAAATTATGAGATAAATGTTATAGAAAATAGTTTACAATTAATTTATAATTAAATTTAAATTTATCTAATATCCTTTAATTAATGTTATATCGAAATAAATTCTAATCGTTTGGATATTAATTTTTACAAAATTAAATGCACATTTGTGCGTGAATTTCTACGATATCTCCAGTAATATATGGTACAATAAATCAATTATATTCCAATAGTTAAAGTTTACAAAAGAGTAGCCTTGATAAACCTAAATATCAGATCCTATACATCAGATGTAAAATAATCACGGCTATCACGTTCTGTCACATTTAAATAACGCGCTATGACAGGTTTCAATCATCACAGTATCCTTCACGTGAAATATAAAAAGTCTAGGCATAACATAATTATTTTGAAACACTATATTCTATATACATATCTTAGAGAAATATCGATGTCGAGTCACTAGTCCGCCTAGACTGGAGTACTCACGCCTTACTATCGTGTTCCTGAGTCACTGGCTGGCTAATCAGCACTTTTGATAATCTACACGTCTACGCTCGATGTCTAAAAGGAACACCCGCGGAGACTAAAATGATGGATAAGGACTTGCTGATTGATCCGCATTTTTCGTAACTACAATTACTCCTTTTCACATAATGCCGCAAAAATGCCGATTGTCTTTTTGAATAACATTTAATACATGAAAGTTAGTTCAAGACTAAAACAACATTGAGCAATTGAAAGATCGCGAAAAGCGAATCCGTTCTTTTTACAATACATTATGTACATATTAAAGAAATTGTTTTAAATATTAAAAAATTTTTAAGTAATAATTTTTTGTATAAACAAGCGGCCGGTGAATGTTTCTTTAGCTAATATTGGAAATTTGGAAACAAATTGTAAACTGCAAAAGTCGCAAGAAATTTTAATAATTACTGCCAATTACAATATAATGGGACGGTCTGTAGAAACTAGATTTTATTTGCTGAGTATAATGCACAAATTAGAAAAGAAAGTTTTATTAACGCGACCTTAATGATCATATTAACATTTTCTATTTATATAACATTTATCCTGTAATACTATAATGTATAAAATATATATTACTGTGCACATATAAATTTATTTATTTTGTCACTTTTACTGCATCAGCTTCCTTGTTCCTGATGTCGATTACAACCTGTGAATTTTATACATAATTTATGTAATATTATAACATTATTTATTAGGTACAATAGTTATAGATATACAAAAGAAATTGTTCAATATATTATAAGAAATTCTTAATATATAGAAAATAGACAAAAAATTTTCGAATCCTATCTGTCACTTACTTTTCCCAAAGATTTACTTTCGGAAACAAACTGCAAAGCATCATTGATTTTATGCAAGCCAACAATCAATGAGCAAGATGGTTTAATAAGCCCTTCTTCAAGGAATTGTAAAACCTCATCTCCTGCTTGGCTAATTTTAAACAAAATAATTAAACTTTTATTTATGGAAACAAAAGAGAGGAGCTATAAACATACAACATACCGATATACGTCAGGCTTTCTCTTTCTGTATTCTGCGAGATTAAAACCGGTAACGCTGAAGGAACCTTTTTGCACCTCGGAATGAGCATTCGTCATGGTTGTCGCCGTGCCAGCTACGATTACGCGCCCTTCGTGACAGAGGCTACAAGTGAGTGAACCGTCCAATGTTGATTATGGTTTCTTTAAAAAATACAGATTTATACCTTCGCGAGATAAATGATGCACCACCACAGCGAAATTGTCATCGCGCAGCAAGTCCTTTAGTGTTGCATCTTTATAGACACCGGTAAAGCTAAAAATATTACATGTCTCACCAGTGTGTCTTACCTGACATCAAAATCCAGACATGCAGCTTTTCTCTACATCTAAAAATCTATTGACTGATGTCTTTAAAAACTCACCAATCCAACACCTTTTTGAAGTATTCTCCATCTGCATCGTCAAAGATAGCTTTGATGTCTCGTTCGGCGGCGATTCCCTCTATTTGCTTTAATAATTTCTTATCTTTGTATTTCAAGGATGCGAATGCTCCTTTCTTCCGAGCCAGATCCGCTCCATCTTCAGTTGCGCATACCCCAATGACCTAAGTAATTTAAAAGTAATAGAATATTTTATAAAGTGTAATTATAACAAGTATACCTTTGCTCTATAGACATTTGTTGCAAGATCTATTGCTGCCAAGCCAATTCCACTTATACCAACGTTTATTAAGATCATGTCATCCTCGTCTATATTGACTTTTCTCTCTAGCGCAACCAGAGCAGTAATATAGCTGTCTAAAATGCTCGCAGCATCTACAGAATTTATCACTGACGGTACTTTCCATATATCCTAAATATGATGCATTATTATTGGTAATATTGTGTTAAAAAGAAATTACAAAAAAAAAATCCATATTTTAAACATAGTTTACCCCAATTTCTGCCAGACATTTCTCGGCCAAACCTCCATATCTTTCCTTATTAAGAGTAATAACTTTATCACCAATTTTGTAGCCATTCTTCTCCGCCTCTGTGCCAACTTCAACCAGTTTTCCAACAACTTCGTAACCAAGAATGGTCGGTAATTTTGGTTCAAATGTATACAAATTTTTACTGAGCAGTGCATCAGAAGTGTTTAAAGCGCAATAATGAACATCGATGAGAACCTATAGAAATAAATTGCTATTATTATTCGATATAGTCTTTTGATATTGTTATATTGTTTTATTTATAAATATAAATAATAAATTGTAAATATAAATAATAAATTGTATATATAATTCTGCAATATATTTTCTTTTTACTTTTTTTACTTACTTCATTCGCCTGTACATTCTTTGGTGGCTCCAGATTCTCTATAACAAGAGGCCTGAAGAAATCTTTCAATAATGCAGCTTGAATTTTTCCTGGCTGCGAAGCCGGAATGACATTTCTCGCATTTTCCTCGACAGCAACACTGCCGAATCTTGCAGCGATAATTCGCGATGACAAATTACTTCTGCATAATTTTATGAAAAATCTGTGTCCTACCGATGATGTCATATTAAGAATATATAATTAATTGGACATCATAATCATGGCAAAAATTTCAAAATATTTCGCGGCGTTTTTAGAATAATAATACAACGTTTAATAAATTCCAAAGCACCATCTAATTTAGAATCTACATAAACACATTCATTATGTGAGGATACGTTCAAAAATACTATCCGTAGGATAAAGTAGAGTTTAATTGACCAATCGGGACAAAAGGAGCAAAGGTCTCTTTCTGATTGGTCAATTCCTTAGAACATATATAGATGGAAGGGGAATGCCTTTGTTTCCCGATAGAAAAACATGTCGGAAGGAAGTAAGAAAGAAAATCATAGTTGCCTCTCTCTTGTGAGTTACTTTGCTCAAAAGTGCGCATGCGCGGCTATGTGTGTGTACACAAAAGTATGTATACTACAGACACGATGCTTGTATGCGTAGTTACTCACAAGAGAGAGGCAACTACGATTTCTTTCTCACTTCCTTCGACACTTTTCAGCCTGCTATTCCCCTTCCATTTATATATGTTCTAAGGTCAATTCAATGCTACTCTATCCCACGAGTAGGATTTTCGAACGCATCTCATGAGGAGGGAGAACACCATAGACATAGTATATCTAGACCGAGTGTTGAGGAGTGGGGGCCGGTGCCCACGTAGAAAAGAAACAGAGTATGTCCTTTTCTACGTGGGCATCGGCCCCCACTCCTTAAATAAAGGCAAACGCTCGGTCTAGATATACTATGTCTATGGAGAACACAATCTGACAGGCTGATACCTAACAGAAAAAAACTTGTAATTATAATAAAGGTGCCGTCCCATGATAGTTGGAATTTCGGAAAAGTTTGCCAATCCGATTTTCGATGGCCTCGTTCCCCATGGAATGACTTTTACGGAAAACGAAATGTTATTCTAACCTCAAACCGTCATTCAATTTACAAAATTTCTTTATTATCTTCTGTTATAATGAAAAATACATCCAAATTTCACTTTTTTACGGATTTTTCTACTAGTAGTAATTATTTTTTAATTATAGAACGATAAGAATAAATCTTTCGATTTTTAAAAATTCCGGAAACATTAGTCCATGAACCCAATCACAAAAATTCTGGCTCGACAAGCGAGCAATTTTTTATCTTGATAACTATTTATAAAAAATAAATATTGATAAAAAATTGAATATTTATATATTGATGAATGTTTACCGAATAATATTTATTAACAATAAAATTTTTCTTGTACACAAGAATTTAATCTCGATGATCTTTTGTATTTAAATAGTTTAAATTTCTTCAAGTAATTCTGATTGGTTGATCCCCACTATATTACTTTTCCGAGATTCCAGTTTTCCGAAGTTCTGGAACGTTGTTATGGAATGGTACTCTCATGAGACGGCACCTTGATGCAGATAATTCGCAGGCACACTTGTGTATAAATTTGGAAGAAAAAAAAGAGCAATTGAAATGTAGAAAAATTCATAAAGTATAAAAAATTCAAGAATAAAAAACAATCGCTCTGATACAAAAATAAGCAGAATCCCTTTAAATATTTATTCAAAATTTTTCGAATAAAATCCGAACTTTTGTTATAACTTTATATTGATAAATTCGGGATATTTATTCAAAAAAAATATCCATATGCAAATATATAAACCGGCTCATAAATGCGACCGCACAAATTTAAACTCCCATGTGATGTGGACAGGTAAAGAATTTTTCATTCAATTATTATGATATCAAGTCATATTTTATCAAAATTTTTTTTATATTTCTATTTTATGAAAACTTATGCGATATACTGTTAATCTCTCTTTACATATAACACTGGATTTACAGTTTTCCACAAATTGATCAGAAGGTAGTGATTGTCTCGGTATTTGGTAAGTCTCAATATCGAGCTAAAGGATGCAAGATGGAAATGCTCAGTTCCATACTCCAGTTACATCATCTGGATGAACCAGAGATTGACAAAGATTCTTGGGTGAGATAATTTTTCTTTTTAATATCTGGAAGTTTTTGTTGAGTAACAAGCGGTATCTTGATGCTATTTTTTTATTTATTAGTGTGAAATTGAAGGATATTATAATCCTCGTGAGAAGACAGTTTTCTTGCACTTGAGAGGATTCTTGGATACTCATACGCTTTTAATTGAATATGACAAGTTCACAAAAAATCAGAATTGCAAGGACTTTCTCAGTGTATGGGCACATATGAGAGATAAATATGCAAAGGCACTCCTAGTGCTGTTTCATATATCTCATGTGATTATACTTACTCATCCAACTTATACCTTTGATTATAGTTACGTAAATCTTTTTCGTGCTATGGATACAGTCAGGTTAGCATCAGTTTTATTTTTTAAGCACAGATCACATATTTGATTTGTATACTATTAAAAATGTTGATATGCACACACATAAATTAAATTTAGATGGTTCAAATTTTTCTCTAGTAAAACAGTATTGTAACGCTTTCTTATGACAGGCAGAAAATCTTGCCACAACTTTCCGATGTGTTAAACTCTATTCATAATCTACCCAAAGATTGGATCGCAAACATCAGACCATGCTCGCCGCGGGTATTATTTTATTTTGAAACCTGTCCTACAGCGTTCCAAAATCCAGACATTGATGCTAATATCAAAAAATTAGAACATTCCCTCGAAGATCAAATTTATCATATGTTAAGGAAAAATAGAATTGTTACCAATATCAGGTATAAAATTTAACATATCAAATATCGTTGAAACTTAACAAAATATTGAAATCGTCGAAGTTCTGGAACGTTGTTATGGAATGGTACTCTCATGAGACGGCACCTTGATGCAGATAATTCGCAGGCACACTTGTGTATAAATTTGGAAGAAAAAAAAGAGCAATTGAAATGTAGAAAAATTCATAAAGTATAAAAAATTCAAGAATAAAAAACAATCGCTCTGATACAAAAATAAGCAGAATCCCTTTAAATATTTATTCAAAATTTTTCGAATAAAATCCGAACTTTTGTTATAACTTTATATTGATAAATTCGGGATATTTATTCAAAAAAAATATCCATATGCAAATATATAAACCGGCTCATAAATGCGACCGCACAAATTTAAACTCCCATGTGATGTGGACAGGTAAAGAATTTTTCATTCAATTATTATGATATCAAGTCATATTTTATCAAAATTTTTTTTATATTTCTATTTTATGAAAACTTATGCGATATACTGTTAATCTCTCTTTACATATAACACTGGATTTACAGTTTTCCACAAATTGATCAGAAGGTAGTGATTGTCTCGGTATTTGGTAAGTCTCAATATCGAGCTAAAGGATGCAAGATGGAAATGCTCAGTTCCATACTCCAGTTACATCATCTGGATGAACCAGAGATTGACAAAGATTCTTGGGTGAGATAATTTTTCTTTTTAATATCTGGAAGTTTTTGTTGAGTAACAAGCGGTATCTTGATGCTATTTTTTTATTTATTAGTGTGAAATTGAAGGATATTATAATCCTCGTGAGAAGACAGTTTTCTTGCACTTGAGAGGATTCTTGGATACTCATACGCTTTTAATTGAATATGACAAGTTCACAAAAAATCAGAATTGCAAGGACTTTCTCAGTGTATGGGCACATATGAGAGATAAATATGCAAAGGCACTCCTAGTGCTGTTTCATATATCTCATGTGATTATACTTACTCATCCAACTTATACCTTTGATTATAGTTACGTAAATCTTTTTCGTGCTATGGATACAGTCAGGTTAGCATCAGTTTTATTTTTTAAGCACAGATCACATATTTGATTTGTATACTATTAAAAATGTTGATATGCACACACATAAATTAAATTTAGATGGTTCAAATTTTTCTCTAGTAAAACAGTATTGTAACGCTTTCTTATGACAGGCAGAAAATCTTGCCACAACTTTCCGATGTGTTAAACTCTATTCATAATCTACCCAAAGATTGGATCGCAAACATCAGACCATGCTCGCCGCGGGTATTATTTTATTTTGAAACCTGTCCTACAGCGTTCCAAAATCCAGACATTGATGCTAATATCAAAAAATTAGAACATTCCCTCGAAGATCAAATTTATCATATGTTAAGGAAAAATAGAATTGTTACCAATATCAGGTATAAAATTTAACATATCAAATATCGTTGAAACTTAACAAAATATTGAAATCGTTTTTTTTTTGTTTTTAGTTCAAATTCCTTGTTTGCGATACCAGCTAATCAGGAATTCGTGTATGTGCATACCGGAAATACAGATTCAAGGGATATGCTGGGTCATATGGCGAGAAAATTGATGCAAAGCTGCAAAAGCAGTTCTGGCAGTACAACATCGAGAAGTCTCACCAGTTTAGATTCAAATAGTATTGTAACGGATGATACTGGAACTGGTAAGACAAATAGAGATAAATTAAAAATTGTGCTATACATGTAAAGGTAACTTTCATGCATTTATAGAATCTCGCTCGTTTAAACTATTTTTGCAACAACACATAAACTTGGCTTTTGCAAAAGGGTTTGACGACAACGTCGGCCGACACTCTGTACCAGCTTATTTTGAAGTGCGTTTTCTTCAGGAATTGCATCATTAGTTTAATGCCAAATCAATATAATGATATAAAGTTAATATAATTAATATTGCAATTAATATATTAAATAATATCGGATAAGTCAAACTTCTATTGAACTACTTTTAAAATGAGTGATATTTACAGATACCCACTCTGAATATATTTTGCCAAGTAGCAAACAAGGTATTCGATTATTTTATTTATGGAACCGACAAAGAACTGTCAACACTTCATAATTTATTAGATACCGATGTGAAATTCAGTAAAAGCCGATGCAGCAAAGTACTTCCGAGAGCTTTACAAGCGTATCAGGAGAACTTACCGCAGCATTACACAAGGTTGAAAATTATTTGAGATAATGGCGATTAAAAAAAGAGATTATATTCTAACTAAAATGACGTTTTTCAGAGCGTATCACGAATCGAAACTAGCGCATGCGATGGCAGTTTTCGAAATGCATGCTCGCGGTCCGTTGTTTGAAGAGTTCAGTGAAAAGTTACAGGCCGAATGTGACAAACATTGGCGTGCTGGCAGACAAATGTGCGAAGTATTGTCACTCACTGGTCATCCTTGTACAAATCCTATTCACAGGGGAGGTAGCGAAGGTGCTGGAGGCGGAGAGCAAACTGAACCTAGAGAGGACGATAGGTATGTTATTTTTATAAGAAAGAAAGATCATGTATTATATATATTTCTGTATAAATTATTTATATTTACAATCAATTGCCAATTTCTTTCCTTTTAATTGCTTTCAGCGAACTACCTACCAGAGAACATTGCAGTGGAGTTAGATATGTGTGTGCTTGCAATTGTGGTCGAATTCAAGGCTCCAGAGAAGATCCTTTCAGTCTACGACAGGCCAATTACGACTATTTCCAAATGTTAGCGAAGCAATGCGGTTGCGCGCAATTGGAGAGTATACAGTTCCCCGTGTTTCAACCTAGTACACACAATTACAGGTAGAATTATATTTGAAAGATTTCTTCCAAAGAAAAATAAGATAGACAAATATACATTTTCTTCTTTTTGTGCGCAGAGCAGCGCAATTATTTTCAGCGGGGAAACGCCACGATTCCTTCAGTCGCAACGGATCTTCTACGCCTCAGGAAGATACGCAAGCTTGTAGTTTAGGAGCCGATAGTTTGAATGGCAAGTAACATTGAAGGGGATATAACATTTTTTCATGTGTATACCGAGCTTTTAACTGATTAATTTCTATGAAACATTACAGACGGAATTACAGATTATGGTAGTGGCGGTCAATCGTCGATGACGAGCGATCCGATCGGAGAGGATATCCCCAGATTGAGCGGCAAAACAAGTCTCACGCCGAGTGATTCACAGAAAGTTATCATAGAAGTCACTGACAGCGACGCGGAAAACTCTAAAGGTATCTTATCGCATTACTTTTTACTTTGTCATTAATTCGCGCGATTAAATGTGAGAATATGTACAATAGATATGTACGTTTTTTATAGACAAATCTTTGGTCAGACAACCATCGACAACAGAATACCTGCCTGGAATGTTACACACCGAATCACCATCCGGCTTGCTACCGCAATTTTCTAGCTGGTCCCTGATATGTCTGGGACCGAGTAGTCTTTATTCTCACAATTTAGGATTGCAGCATCAAACCGGGGTATTTCCTACCTCCGCATTTCTACTCCCATGGGATGTAACTGTCAGGTGAGAAAAATATATCCTATATCCATCACATTTGTGAGATTGTTGCTTTCAACTCTCTCTCTTCTTTTTAAAATAAAAAAAATCTAAAGAGAAAAATATATCGTACTATAGATTGGAGCATCAAAAGGAGCGTAGTAACTCCTTGTGGCCTATGATGGGATTTACAGGATCTGATCACGGGATTCATGGAAGTTATTGTTCGCGAGGAGGCAAAAATTTCCAAAACATTAATACCATTCGTGGTCGTAAGTCCAAGGGCGGCAAAGAATTTGTGGTAAAGATATTCGTCGGTGTGGAATACGAGTGCCCACGCGGGCACAGATTCATGGCGTCCGCGCCTGACAAGGTACTAAAGACCACTGGAAATGGAATAGTAAAAGATAGTGGAAATAAGGTGACGTCCAGCACAGCCGATATGCCACTCTACTTTGCGTGCCCTTGCAGGTCCATACAATTTTATCACACCGACACCTCGACTTTTAATACAAAGTTTGTGTATAAATTTACTCGTCGGATAAATGTGTTTTCCATTTTCAGACAGACGAAACCATTGATCGCTCAATTAATGAGAATCCACGTGGTAACACCTAAAGCACCAGTACACGTTACATTGAACCCCCGGGTTCAACCTGGTCCTCCACCTTGCCCGACATTCGTCACCGGATGCGAAGAACCGATCAAACTATCACAAAGCGCATACTGGATTTTAAGATTGCCGTATCCTTTTCTTTAAAGCTTTCGTAACATGTCTATATCTTTAAAATTGTCAACCAAGTCTTCTCTTTTTAATTACATATGAGCAATTTATTTTCTTGCTCAACTTTCCCTTTTCCATTCAAATATTTGCGTTATTTTTTCCTTAATAAATCTCAAAGTTACATATACATGGGTGAGAAAGGACCATATTTACCACCTAAGGAACCGGTATCTACGTCTCACGGGCGTTTGTTAGCCGGGATGTACGGCATAAGCGAAGTTATGCCTGAGAAGAAATGAAGACTGTGGTATATAATATTTCTCTGTAAAAAATATTCTTGTGTATACATTTTTTTTTTATTTGACGAATGTTCAATTACCTCTCTTTATTTATGTATAACCTAAATTGTTTTATTCCTGCGAATTTTTATGAATTCTGTATTCATAGGAAATAAAAAGCATGCACTTAAGGATGTTTTGGCTATACAATAGTAGCAAAAAGTTTTCGAAACTTAAATAAAAAAAAAAAAACATTTCTTACATTTATACTGTTTGGAAAAAGAAATAAATTAATCTGGATTATAAAAAGAATTAAAGTATCAAAAAATAATGTTTTTTAACGTCTTCCTAAAAAAAATAATTGTTAATATTTTTCCTAATTTATGACAAAAACTTTTGATTGTGAATACCCTCTGAAATCAACTGCAAGAAAAAAAAATTTACAGGAATATTTTGGGTTACTATGAGTATTTTGCTATAATTTTTAGTAAATAACTTTTAAACCAGTAAGTGGAATCCTGCTAATTTTAACCGTCGGTTAATCTAACCGAGCTTGGTGAAATTGGCCCTAAGGGTGCCGTGTAACAGAGCTCTCAGACACATACATCCTTAAACCTCGTCTTGATTTGACATTATAGGATCCTGCGCGATGATTCGTCGTTTTTAAAATTCCAGATGATCACGTGTCGGCCATTCGAGTTTGCGATTGGCTTGAAACTTTGTGACCTATTTGAATCAGAAATATATTTGTAATTTCCCTCCTCTTCGAGAACAATTCTAATTCGCCTTGTAATTATGTAAAACATAATCTTCAAACACACGAGAAGGCGATAAAAAATAGATAAAAATAATTGTACACTATGAAGATAAAAATAAGTATATTATATTTTACGGGACCCTCCTTCCCCTCCACCTCACAAGTGGCGGGTTTCGTTAACGAACCGCCATGCATTCAAACGGGACAACCGTTAAAACAGATGGGTATGTGAAACAGGTGACAGATATATACTTGTCATCACTTGTCATCGCGTTTGAATTCGAAGAAAGGGTTATTTTTATTGGCTCGTAATTCGCTGACGCAATGTAAAAAAGAAACGCTTACTCGACACAACTCAACATTGTTTTGCGATAGATAATTGTAATAATTGCGATGTGTAAACTGCGATCTCGAAACTTGACGATCGAATTCGCGACGTATTCTATTTTTAGTTGTGGTTTGCGTGTGCGCACGATTTTCTACCGTCACCTCATCAACGGACTTAAACTGTAATAAGCAATAGGAGTAAGAAAATAACCTGTGTCTATGACAGTGGGATTTATTTTTGAATTATTTCTGAATAAATCGTTGATAATTTTAGGTAATTGTACATGCATGCATCCCTCATGAATCGATTATATAATTACGAAACAAAGTTATATATTCAGAGATTATTATCTTTCTTTCCTTTTTTTAGGCAGCAGATTAATTTAGACGCAATGCAGTTGAAAATGGATTGCAAGCTTCTATTGTTGATATTTTTGGTGTCGTTTAATTGTAAACTTGGCAGTGCATCTATAATGGATTGGATATGGCAAACAAAAACAGATGACACAACTGTTTCAGTTAACAATGGCGTACCTTTGATCTCAATCCCTTATGAGTCGATGACGGAGGATGAAAAATTTCTCCAACAGGCTGCCAAGTTAACAGATATTAAAGTTTCTTCTCCTTTAGAGATCTGTCAACACAAAGTTATTGTGAAAATTAGAACCTCATGTTCTGATATGACAGAGGAAGAGCTCGCAAAGCTGAGTGTAAATCTCCTAAATTGCCAATCAGCGGTTGAAGGCAGAAAAATCTTTCCCTGCACTGAGGAAATGGTATATATTTGATAAAAATACGATTTCTTTGCATAATCCATAAGCAAAAAATTTTTTTATTTGTTTTATATTATGTTTTATATTAGTTTTGTGTTAATCAAAGCTATATATATGCATTTCATTGTCAAAAATCTATTTAAATAATAATAATTTAATTAGCAGATACATTTTATTGTATTAATTAACAAATTCACATTTATTTTATTATATTCTGCAATTTTCAATGTACAATTTAATCTCCTCATATGTTTAATAGTACTGAAAGAAATGCAATTTTGAGAGAACATGTTCATGCAGCAGAATTACATTAGTGCCATAACTTTATTTATTAAAATTTATTGATTTATGTTATTTGTTAATAATATATAAAAGCATTGACTCTTATGCCGTTTTAAAACATAATACAAGATAAGTACCTGCAGAATATCCATACCCTTTACAAATTGAGGGGGTAAATTCCATGCCTGTTCAAACTTGCACACTTCCCCCTCCTTTTACTTTTGAAGACCTCCCCAGTTTTCAGTTATACGGTGCATTGTACTAGTATCTAATGTTACTGTGTTCATAGATGTTTTAATATAATACTATAGAATATTTAAATTTAGTGATGATGAAATTTTAATTTAATTAAAAAGAATTATAAATAGAAATAATTGCTGAAAATTTGCTATAAAAAAAAAGTGCACTATTGACAGAAAGTGTGTACATGCAAGAAAATCATAATATAATTTATAGTAAGTATAAAAAAACGTAATTTCTGTTTTTTTAGTCCCTTCAACAGTGTACAACAAATATGGATGCCGACATGTGGAATGCATATCATTTAATGAGTAATAGAGCGAGAGCGGTTTGTTACGCAGCTCGAAATACACAATTTCGTGCTCTTACAGAGTTAACTGTCAATAAGCTGATGCAATCTGCGCGTTCTCAAATTGAGGGATTAAAATCTTTGAAGGTATTTATATCCTATATATATGTATAATGTGATAAATATATTTCTTTAATTATTTACTTATATATTTGTTTTTAATGAAAATTTTATTTATTGTACGATTCATACAGCAAAGTCAAGATCATCTGCAAGAACAGACAACAGAAGCTCTGTCGTCATTATCCAAGGGAAACAAAGCACTCTTGGAACAACAACAATATTTGAAGGACGCTCAAGTGACATCCCACAATCTTGTAACATCGAATCTGAGGGAGTTGAATAACGAAAAGGCATTAATACGAACTGGGCACAATCTGCTCGCAAGCATGGCGGAGGATATAAGAGATAAATTAGGTACTAAACACTTTTCATATGTGTCATATTTTTTCTTTTTTTATTATTATATATATATAGACTTTCTAAATTTATTTAATATATCCTTCAGAAAAGGCGCATAAAGAGCTCGAGCAACAAGTTATTGAACGTGGTGCAAATCATCAGGAAGTGTTGCAAGATTTGATCAGTATAAAAGAACAAATGCGATCAATTTGGGAAAAAATCGAAAGTAGCACTGATCGTATATTAGAGCAACATGAAAAAACCATCGACCATTATGAGCAGACGATGCAGAAACTCGCACAAATTAATGATACTATTCGATATATTTGGAATCTCACTAATATTATGCGCACAGAAATAGACCAAAAATTGGGATGGATTACTGACTACATCGACGATACCGGTACATTATTATACAAAACTGCATGAAAAAAATTTGTTTAAATTAATTACATTAAATATAATTTTTTTTTATATTTAAAAACTTTAATTTTGGTGTAGATTATGAAATCGAAGTATACATCGATAATTAATATTTTTTTAGGTGAACAAGTGCAAAAAATATATCGCATAGTTTCACATGTCGTGTATATATTAGTGGCTATGATAATCGCTGCATTTTTACAAGCACCATTTTTAACTAGAGCTAGCATTTTGGGTATAGTGCCAGCAAATCTTGTTACTTACTTGAAACATGGCATGGAAGCCTCTCTAGATTTTACATCTATGACAGTGCTGATATTTTTAATCACTGCAAGTAAGTATTTTGCAAATCAAAACATACATTTTAAAACAATATATAATATATGTATATATGTATATATTAATATTGACTTGTTATTTGATTGATTATTTGATGCATTTATTTCATAATGCAGTGCATTTTGTAATGCTGGAAATACAACATATGTTTGGGCCAAGCAGTTCAGAAAAGAAGACAGAACCAGCTAAACTGGTCTCCCAGAATGGACATATGAATGGAAATGCATATAAACACACAACATATTTTAGTTCTATGGCAAAGATGCGACTGCACACAAAATTAATGAAAATAATGCAGAGATTCTATAACTTTGTCGTTTTGCAAACAAACTACTGCAAAGGTACTTTCTCGATTTGAAACAAAAACTGTGTGAGAGAAATCGTCAAGTGACAATTCTTGACAATAATCATTTTTTAGAGAAAATTAATGACTTGATACATTTCATCGCTTCTTGGAATAATCGACGCAATTTAAGTGTGCACGAGACACTCTCCTGTTCATATCGACCATTGAAGAAGAATCGTGAGGATGTATACAACTACAAACGGGAGTTTTTGGATATATCGGACGATGAGACGCAATGCGATTCTTCCAATATGATGCACTCGTCGCGTGAAGAATATTACAATGATATTAATGATATATCGGACGCAACCGAATTGAAACGTCGTATTTATAACACGAACGTTTCGCGGTCTCGAAGGTATGTAACACCGATAGAATGATCGGTAATTCATAAAATGACTAAAAAATATGATTCTAGTGTCACCCCATTGGGTTTGCCGAAATTGCTTTGTATGGCGATAACAAGAACCGGCAGAAGATGTCGGGTGTTTACTTCACCCGGACAATGTTTCTGCCATCATCATTCTACTGGCACATCTATTGTGGATGGTCATCTTAATTGAATATTGCAAATAATTAAATTCCGATTATAATAAGAGTTAAAATAATCACCTGAGTTTATGTTAGATAAAATGTAACAATCTCTATTCTCTCTCTTAATAACAATCAATATAACTGATGATCAGAGATTGAATAATTATGATGGTTGGTAATATTTATAATAATTATTGTAAAATTTTGAGATTATTTATAACGATTTAAATTTATTTATAATGTATATTATACAATAGTCTTAATAAAAACTTGATTTAATTATCAGAAAAATAATAAATCCAGAAAAGAAAAATTAATAATCGAGAGATTAAATCAGATTGACAATATTTTACGTATGCACGTAATTTATTATTTTTTAAAATTTTATTTAAATAATTATTTATTTAAATTGTTAAAGTTTTTCTTTTGGTCCATTATTTTTCTTATGGATATATTAAAATTTAACATAAACAGTTTCTTGTTAAAACGGATCATACATTATATGCTACAAATAAAAATCCAGAAATTTTACAGTAATTATAAATATTACCACAATTGTTAATTCTTCGATCATCAATTGTATTTTATACTATCGATATACAGATTAAATAACTTGCGTACATTTTGTGATTTTGTAAATAACGTTTTTTTGATAATAATTAATAATATAACAATGCTTCAATAATATTAAACATTGATATTGATATTATTTCAGATGTATATCTTGATATAATCTTAGAGAGAATATTATATAGAATTAATTTAAATAATTTATATTATTTTATCATACACAGTTTAAATGTTTTATGTTGACATGTACTCACACAAGCCATCATAAAATTTTTACACATGTGGAACACAGCAATGTTTCTCAATGGTAAGTAATTGTACAATACATATTTAAAAATATGTTATTTTATCTCCTGCTTTCATGTAAAATAACATAATCATAATAGTTACACACACACACACACACACACACGTTTATGTTAAATATTTTATAAATGATAAAATACTTGATAAATATAGTTAGTGAAATATATGTATAATTTATTATTTTATAAAAATGTATCAAAGTATAAATCTATATATAAATATAAATAATCTTGTAACATTTGTACGAAATTGTGTATAAAAATTATAAGTATAAACTGTTGTTTTTCTACAACTGTAACATTTCGATGCGAAAATCGATTTAATTTTAAAAAGTTATGAGAGTGTGTATTTCTTCAACCACAAACAAATATTAAATATTAAATTGTGTATACATAGCATCGCTCGTTAGTTTCAAAAATTTCGCATGTCTATTGAGGGTATCGATTCTATAATTTAAGTAAGAGTGAAAATTACAAAAATGAGCAAATTTACTAGGTTTGGACCAATGAAATTATAAATTTTTTAGTAAATTCGCTTATTTTTGTAATTTTCACCTTCACTTGAATTACAGAATCGATACCTAGATTGCCTACAGCTCTCCTACCACCAAATTGTGCAGGTAACAATAATTTGCGCTGTAATAAATATAAACCATTCGTTTGATATGGAATCGACATATATTCAAACGATAATATATTTTTGAATACCTCGTCGGTGTGGTCCGAATAAAAAAATGTGTTGTTTGGTTTCCAAAAATTATATGCTTATGTTCTATGTTTGAAATACTTATTGATTTACTTATACTCTTATCTCATAAATTAAATAATTTAAAATTGATTATTATAATTTTTATAAAGTATTAAATATTAATATTTAATA